AGGGGCTCCTCCCGATTAGAGTTGGGTGAAATGTCATTTTGTAACACTTCTATAAAGCGAAATAAAAAGTAAACAATGTGATGAGGGTGTGCAGCATGCATGGTGCACAACACATGGCTGCTGGTGTGAACGAGTGCTGAGAAAATGTTTTAATTGCTATCCGTGCTGTCTTGTCCTGTGACAACCACAAAAGCCATTTCCTGTCAGGGTGTCAGGAGACAAATTGAAGAAAAATCCCCTTATTGTGGGGCATTGACAGATATGAAAATTTCTTCAGGTGTAGGGTAAAGTGATAATGGTCCCTGTAAGTGTCCACTACATCGATCTTTCTTTCTCTCTTATATATATATATATATATATATATATATATATATATATATATAAAACACCAACAATATGTATGTGGCTGTAGCAGATGGAGGGTAGTTTCATTCTTCATGTCTATTCTTATAAAACACAGTGAAGTACATGAAGTACGGTAAGCCACAGCTGAAACATGGAATGTGGTAATGATGATAATGAAATAATTATATTAGCCCTGTCGCCTACAGACACCAAAGGAAGTCGGATGATCTATTTTAGTCTATTAGATAGTTAAAAGTTGATCTTCAAAAAAAAAACTTTTTTTGTTTTGTGTTGGATGGGTGAGGAAGTGTTAGAACTCCTGTTACATTTTTTTTTTATGCTGGTACTATATTGGTAAAATCTTGGTAGAAAATCAGTTTGGTGATATCTAGAAAATTTATCTGGGAATATCCAAGCAGAACATCCGTAAATAGATATCTATTAGAACATTGATTAGGGGGTGTCTAGGTGGAGCATTATAAGGGAGATCAGGTACAATATCAGTAAGCAGAAGTCTAGGTGGAGGATCAGTTTGAAAATTAGATCATCAATAAAGTGATATCTGGTAGAACATCTATTAGGGGTTGCCCAGGTGGGAGATGTCCAGGTAAAATATTAGTAAGATGTCAAGTCTGAAGATCAGTTTGGAGATGTACATGTAAAAATTGGTCTGGAAATATGCAAGTAGAACATTGATTAGTGGATGTTCATGCAGATCATTATATGCAAGATGTCCATGTACAATAGTAGTAGTAAAGGGATGTCCAAGTTAAAGATCAGTTTTGGAGAAGATAATCAATAAGCAGATGCCTAGGCAGAGGTCAGATAGGAGATTTCAGGTGCAATATCACATTGGGATGACTAGTCTGAAGATCAGTCTGGAGAAGTGGGCCAGCAATAAATAGTTGCTTGATGAAACATTGATTAGAGTTGTCCCAGGGGTGGACTGACAACTCATGGGGTCCCCGGACAATAGGGGATCATGTGGCCCCTGTGTCCTCACCCACACTCAAACCACACCCAAAAAAGCCTATGAAAGGTACCAGGGGCATCTCATGGCCCCCCTACTGACCCTGTGCCCTCGGGCAGTGCCTGAATGGTCAGTCCACCCCTTGGTTGTCCAGTTAGAGCACTAGATGGGAGATGTTCAGGTGCAATATCAGTAAGTAAATGGTTAGGAAGGAAATTAGTTTGGAGAAGATAATCAATAAGGAGATGCCTGATAGATAATTCATTAGGTGTGTCCAGGTAGAGCAGAACATGGGAGATGTCCATTTAAAATTAGTAAGCAAATATCTACAGTGAAGGAAATAAGTATCTGATCCCCTGTTGATGTTTGCCCACTCACAAAGAAATGATCAGTCTAAAAATGTTCATGAGGGAAATAAGTATTGATCCCCTATCATTCAGCGGGATTTCTGGCTACCAGGTGTCTTTCATTCAGGTAACAAACTGAGATTAGAAGCAGTCTCTTAAAGGGAGTGCTGCTAATCTCATTTTGTTACCTGTATAAAAGACACCTGTCCACAGGAGCAATCAAACAATCAGCTTCCAAACTCTTCACCATGGAAATGACCAAAGAGCTGTCCAAGGATGTCAGGGACAAGATTGTAGACCTACATAAGACTGGACTGGGCTACCAATCTATCGCCAAGCAGCTTGGTGAGAAGGTGACAACAGTTGGTGCAATCATTCGCAAATGGAAGAAACACAAAACAACTGTCAGTCTCCCTAGGTCTGGTGCACCATGCAAGATCTCACCTCGTGGAGTGTCAATGATCATGAGAACAGTGAGGAATCATCCCAGAACTACATGTGAGGATCTTGTCAATGATCTCCAGGCAGCTGGGACCACAATCATCAAGAAAACAATTGGTAACACACTACGCCGACAAGGAGTGAAATCCTGCAGTGCCCGCAAGGTCCCTCTGCTCAAGAAAGCACATGTCCAGGCCCGTCTGAAGTTTGCCACTGAACATCTGAATGATGCAGAGGAGGACTGGGTGAAAGTGTTGTGGTCAGATGAGACCAAAATCGAGCACTTTGGCATAAACTCAATTCGCCGTGTTTGGAGGAGGAATGCTGCCTATGACCCCAAGAACACCATTCCAACTGTCAAACGTGGTGGTGGAAACATTCTGCTTTGGGGGTGTTTTTCTGCTAAGGGGACAGGACAACTGCACCGCATCAAAGGGACGATGGATGGGGTAATGTACTGTCAAATCTTGGGTGAGAACCTTCATCCCTCAGCCAGGGCATTGAAAATGGGTCGTGGATGGGTGTTCCAGCATGACAATGACCCAAAACACATGGCCAAGGCAACAAAGGAGTGGTTCTAGAAGAAGCACATTGAGGTCCTGGAGTGGCCTAGCCAGTCTCCAGACCTTAATCCAATTGAAAATCTGGGGAGGGAGCTGAAATTTCGAGTTGCCAAACATCAGCCACTAAACCTTAATGACTTGGAGAGGATCTACCAAGAGGAGTGGGCCAAAATTCCTCCTGAGATGTGTGCAAACTTGGTGGCCAACTACTGGAAACATCTGACCTCTGTGATTGCCAACAAAGGATTTGCCACCATGTACTAAGTCATGTTTTGTGAAGGGGATCAAATACCGTATTTGCCGGCGTATAAGACGACTTTTTGACCCTTGAAAATCTTCTCAAAAGTCGGGGGTCGTCTTATACGCCGGTACACATGTTAGGGGGGCTGCGGCATTAAGTACAGGGGTTTGCAGGGGCTGATGTCTCTTACCTGGATCCAGTCCCACGACGATCCGGTCCAGGAAGCGCGGCGTCTCCTTCAGTTCTGCCACTGGATGTTCGTGCGGCTGCTCGGCTCCGCCTCCTCACCGGTGATTGGCCGCCAGAACTGTAGCTCAGGAAAGGCACACAGGCGGCCAATCACCGGCGAGGGGGCGGAGCCGAGCTGCCCCGCAAAAATTAAGTGCCGGAGCAGCAGGTAAGTGTGCTGTGTAGAGGTGCTGCTGCAACCACATATGCTGGCTGCAGCAGCACCATACGAGAACAGGGTCAGCAAGTCTCAGTGGGAGGAATAGTGCCCCATCATTGGTGTCACTGATACCAATGATGGGGCACTATTCCTCCCACTGATACCAACGATGGGGCACTATTCCTCCCACTGACCCCAACGATGGGGCACTATTCCTCCCCCCCACTGACACCAACGATGGGGCACTATTCCACCCCCCACTGACACCAATGATGGGGCACTATTCCACCCCTCACTGACACCAATGATGGGACACCATTCCTCCCACTGACATCAATGATGAGGCACTATTCCTCCCACTGACACCAATGATGGGGCACTATTCCTGCCACTGATACCAATGATGGGGCACCTATTCCCCCCACTGATACCAATGATGGGGCACTATTCCTCCCACTGATACCAATGATGGGGCAGTATTCCTGCCACTGATACCAATGATGGGGCACTATTCCTCCCACTGACACCAATGATGGAGCACTATTCCTCCACTGATACTAATGATAGGGCACTATTCCTGCCACTAATGCCAATGATGGGGCACTATTCCTGCCACTAATACCAATGATGGGGCACTATTCCTCCCCACTGACACCAATGATGGGGCACTATTCCTCCCACTGACATCAATGATGGGGCACTATTCCTCCCACTGGTGTGCATTGGAAGAGGGGTAGTCTTATACGGCGAGTATAGCCCAAACACTACATTTTAGCAGGAAAAGTAGGGGGGTCGTCTTATACGCCCAGTCGTCTTATACGCCGGCAAATACGGTACTTATTTTCCTCATGAACATGCAAATCAGTACATCATTTGTTAGACATGCATTTCTTTTGAATTTTTTGTTGCTATTCTGTCTCTCAGTGTTACAATACACCTACCATTCGATTTTTAGACTGATCATTTCTTTGTGAGTGGGCAAACATTCAAAATCAGCAGGGGATCAAATACTTATTTCCTTCACTGTAGGTAGAAGATCAGTTTGATGAAATAATCAATAGTGTGATGCCTGGTAGTGGTTATCCAAGTAAAACAAGAGAGGAGATATGTTCAAGTATCAGTAAAAGGGAGATCTAGGTAGTATATCAGTTTGGAGAAGATCATGGATCAATGAGATGCCTGGCAGAACATAGATTTGGGATGTCCGGGTAGAGGCTAGATAAGAGATATCCAGGTGCAATATCTGTAATAAGATGTTTATGTAGAAAATCAATTTGGAGAAGATCATCAATTAGGTGAAGCCTGATGGAACATAGATTAGGGATGTCCAGGTAGAGTTTATATGCTGTATTTCCAGATACATTATTTGTTGATATGTAGATGTCTAGGTAGAAGATCAGTATGGAGAAATAGACCATCAGTAGGGAGATGCCTGACTCAACATCGACAAGGGGTTTCCTCAGTAGTAGGTAGAGATTTCTAGGTTGAGAGATATAATCTACAGTATGAATCAGTGTTCTTGTCTTCTCATTAATTTGATTTTGTTTTTGATTTCAGTTCTCAAGCTTGTTATTAAGGATAAAAAATAAGTATCTTCATTGATCACATGATCATGTGATGGCTCCATGATGTCTAACAAGATCTTTTTGCAATCCACAGGTATGACGCCTTCATCTTAGTTGTTCTCTGAATTCTCGGTGCCAGGATGTCGCTGGACCCTATAAGCCGATCACGGGGAGGAACCTTTGTGAGGTCCGATGGGCCCGCAGAGCTTCCGCCCGATGGAGAGATCAGTAAAGAAGAGATGCGTATCCTTAAGGTGTGTTTTCATAGCAACAGCAACAACCTGATGAAGAACTTCAAGCTGGTCAAGTGTAGCATATACACCGAGATTCGGGTGAGTAGTCATCTGAGGTTACAGGGTAATGATGTTTTAAGGGCTCAAACCACCTAAAACTGTTTTTTTAAGGTAATGACGTATGATGTCCAACAATTTACCCGTATAATTGCCAGCAGTGTTATGTCTCAGGTGTTAAGCCAGGTTTTTTTGTTTGGTTTTAAACCAGGTTGGGTTAGAACCTCAACTTCAACTTTTTATTACTGTCTGCATGTTCATCTTGGCTATCTCACTTCCTTTTTTGGCACGTGTCAGATAGAACAGGAAGTCAGAGGCACCTTTTTGACAGGTGTCACACAGGGCACGGGATTGTGCGCCACCCTCCTCCAACAGGAAACCACAAAGGAAACTTAGTCTACATATTTGAAAAATTAAACTGCCCTGTAAAATAGTCTTACATCTAAGTTATAAATGAATTAACAACATAAAAAATATATGAACTTTGAGAAAAAACAAACTCAAGCCCAACAAACTTTCAGCCAGTAAATAATGAAGGTGGACCTTCCATGGAGCTCTGCCTCTTCCTGTTGCAGGCTGACAATGGTAAGCCACTGCCTTACAATTACACAGCAGCATTGTGAGCCTCTCCATGAATGCTCTTTTGGTTGGCTATTGGGCTCCCAGGATGCATGCACTGACTTGAAAAGCAGCCCAATGACCAACAGAAGGAGCTGTTGACAGCCTGCGTTACTGGCAGGATCTCCAGTACATAAAATTTGCAACAGATTCACAAAAATCTGTTGCATAATGCATACCACCCAAACATGCTGAAAGATAGATTTTGAGTTTTTAGAAACTTTATTAGTGTGGCGTGGGGGATGCGGGTACATAAGTCTGGGAAAAAATAGGTTTGGCTCATGGAGGGTCAATTTGCTTCTTTGCGGTGCGTTATGTCCCACATTAATGTGCTTTGCCATAGGGCAGTCCATTCAAAAATGGGCGGCACAGTGGCTTAATGGGCAGCACAGTGGCTTAATGGTTAGCATGTCTGCCTCACAGTAATTGGGTCATGGGTTCGATTCCCGACTATGGCACCTCCTGCATGGAGTTTGTATGTTCTCCCTGTGCTTGTGTGGGTTTCCTTTGGGTGCTCTGGTTTCCTCCCACACTCCAAAGACATGCTGGTAGGTGAATTGGCTCCTGTCTAAACTGTCCCTAGTATGTATATGTATGAATGTGAGTTAGGGACAGGGGCGGACTGACCATTTGGAAACTCGGGCTCTGCCCGAGGGCCCGGGGTCAGTAGGGGGCCCCATGTGATGCCCCTGGTACCTTTTTCGTAGGCTTTTTTGAGTTTGGGAAAGGACACAGGGGCCCCATGATCCCCTATTGCCCCATGAGTTGTCAGTCTGCCCCTGGTTAGGGACCTTAGATTGTACACCCCTTGGGGGTTTGGGACTGATGTGAATGTACAATATATATGTAAAGTGCTGTGTAAATTGACAGCGCTATAAAAGTACCTGAAATGAAAAAAAAAATGAAAAAAAGAATGAGAAGCCAGCACATCCTACCAAGTCTTAAATTGCATATTATATGTTTTTGTGATGCAATGCACTACCACATATTCCCATGCATTGCACCATCCTATAATGCAGGTGCATTGCCTTTGTGCATTAGTGTGCCATTTAACATACATGTAGCAATACATGTTCCATTATCACAACACAGAAGTCAATGGACTCTAAAGGACTGAAGGCAAGTAAGCATGGGAAGTTGGATGAGCCTATTGGCTGGGGGGTGGCTCAGGTTCTACAAAGTAGATACTTTGAAGTTGAATTCTGCACTCAAAAGAGACAACATGTTGCCTACGATGATATTTTCCCACAATTTATGGAATGGGTAGTGTTCATTGAAGTAGCAGCTGAGCTAATGGTGTTGAGAAATTATTATTATTATTATTATACAGTATTTATAAAGCGCCAATAGTTCGCTCAGTGCTGTACATTACAAAGGGGGACAGAACATGTGACAGAACAATACCAATACAATGCAAAACATGAGGGGATTGAGGGCCCTGCTCCTTGGAGCTTACAATCTAGGAGGGAGGGGATAGTGGCACAGGAGGAGATAGCTGTGGGGGATGGGGTGGTAGGAAGAGTGGAGGAGGTCGGCAAGTTAGCAGGGGGTGGGGTAGGCTTCCTGAAGAGATGGGTTTTCAGGGTGCGTCTAAAGGAGAGGAGAGTAGGTGATAATCTGATGGGTTGGGGCAGGAAGTTCCAGAGGATGGGTGACACCCTGGAGAAGTCCTGGAGGTGGGCATGGGAGGAGACCAGGGAACTAGAGAGAAGGAGGTCTTGTGAGGAGCGGAGTGTGCGTGCTGGGCAGTACTTGGATATTAGGTCAGTGATGTAGTTCGGGGCAGTATGGTGGACGGCTTTGTACGTCAATGTTAGGATTTTGAATTTGATCCGTTGTGCAATTGGAAGCCAGTGGAGGGATTGGCAGAGGGGGGTGGCGGAGATGGAGCGGTTAGAAAGGTGAATGAGTCTGGCAGCCGTATTCAGGATCGACTGAAGCGGGGATAGCCAGCGGCGAGGCAGGCCAGTGAGGAGGGAGTTGCAGTAGTCGAGTCGTGATATGATGAGGGAGTGGATGAGCTGGTTAGTGGTTTCTGGGGTTAGGAACGTGCGGATTTTGGCGATGTTGCGGAAGTGGAGTCTGCACGAGTTTGTTAAAGATTGGACTTGGGGCTGGAAGGATAGGTTGGAGTCCAGAATGACACCAAGTACTCTGGCCTGCGGGGCGGGTTTGATGGTAGCGTTGTTCGATGTGATAGAGAAGTCAATGGGGGGTGGTGTTCGGGCTGGGGGGAAGACAAGAAACTCGGTTTTGGAGAGGTTCAGTTTAAGGAAGTGGAGCGACATCCAGTCTGATATGTCGCTCAGTAGGTGTGTGACTCGGGCAGAGACTGAGGGGGTGAGGTGGGGGGTTGAGAGATAGATTTGTGTGTCGTTGGCATAGAGATGGTAGTTGAAGCCGTGAGAGTGTATGAGTTGGCCAAGGGAGGAGGTGTAGATGGAGAAGAGAAGGGGCCCGAGGACAGAGCCTTGAGGGACCCCAACAGAGAGGGGGAGTGAGGGGGAGGTGGTAGCATTATAGGTAACGCTGAGAAATCACAGAAGCTTCATTTGGAGTAATGTTCTTTTCTGTGTAGGTGCCCCAGCCCGGTTACCAATTTTTAATTAATTTACCCGAATGCTGTCCTGGACGAGCCCCCGGCTCTTTGCTGCAAGTGTGGCCCCGGATGAGCCCCCAGCTCTTTGCTACAAATCTGGTCCTGGACAAGCCCCCAGCTCTTTGCTGCAAGTGTGGCCCCAGACAAGCCTTTAGCTCTTTGCTGCAAGTGTGGTTCCGAACAAGCCCTTAGCATTTTGCTGCAAGTCTGGTCCTGGACGAGCCACCAGCTCTTTACTGCAAGTCTGGTCCCGGACAAGCCTTTAGCTCTTTGCTGCAATTGTGGTCCCAAACAAGCACCCAGCTCTTTGCTGCAAGTATGGTCATGGATGAGCCCCCAGCTTTTTGCTGCAAGTCTGGTCCCGGACAAGCCCCCAGCTCTTGGCTGCAAGTGTGGTCCCGGATAAGCCCCCAACTAATTGCACAATTCATTTGTCTTCTTAACCACTTGCCTACCGGGCACTTATACCCCCTTCTTTACCAGGCCAATTTTCAGCTTTCAGTGATGTCGCTGGTCGCTGGTCCTGGATGAGCTCCCAGCTTTTTGTTGCAAGTGTAGTCCTGGACTAGCCACCAGCTCTTTGCTGCAAGTGTAGTCCTGGACTAGCCCCCAGCTCTTTGCTGCAAGTGTAGTTCTGGACTAGCCCCCAGCTCTTTGCTGCAAGTGTAGTCCTGGACTAGCCCCCAGCTCTTTGCTGCAAGTGTAGTCCTGGACTAGCCCCCAGCTCTTTGCTGCAAGTGTAGTCCCTGGACTAGCCCCCAGCTCTTTGCTGCAAATGTGGTTCCAAACAAGCCCCCAGCTTTTAGCTGCAAGTCTGGTCCTGGACGGGCCACCAGCTCTTTGCTGCAAGTGTAGTCCTGGGTGAGCCCCCAGCTCTTTGCTGCAAGTGTGGTTCCGAACAAGCCCCCAGCATTTTTCTGCAAGTCTGGTCCTGGATGAGCCACCAGCTCTTTGCTGCAAAGTCTGCAAGTCTGGTCCTGGACGAGCCACCAGCTCTTTGCTGCTGTAAGGACGAGCCACCAGCTCTTTGTGTAAGTGTGGTCCCGGACAAGCCTTTAGCTCTTTGCTGCAAGTCTGGTCCCGGACAAGCCCCCAGTTCTTTGCTGCAAGTCTGGTCCCAGATGAGCCCCCAGCTCTTGGCAGCAAGTGTGGTCCCGGATAAGCCCCCAACTAATTGCACAATTCATTTGTCTTCTTAACCACTTGCCTACCGGGCACTTATACCCCCTTCTTTACCAGGCCAATTTTCAGCTTTCAGCGATGTCGCACTTTGATTGATAATTGCGCGGTCATGCAACATTGTACCCATATGAAAGTTTTATCAATTTTTTTCTCACAAATAGAGCTTTCTTTTGGTGGTATTTAATTGCCGCTGGGCACTTTACTTTTTGCGCTATAAAACAAAAAAATGCAAAAAATTAAAAAAAAAAAGTTTCTTTGTTTCTATTATAAAATTTTTCAAACAGGTAATTTTTCTCCTTCACTGATGTACGTTGATGAGGCAGCACTGATGGGCACAAATAGGCAGCACTGATGGGCACTGATAGGCAGCACTGATAGGCGGCACTGATAGGCGGCACTAATGAGGTGGCACGGATAGGCAGCACTAATGAGGTGGCACGGATAGGCAGCACTAATGAGGTGGCACGGATTGGCGGCACTAATGAGGTGGCACGGATAGGCGGCACTGATAGGTGGCACTGATAGACAGCACTGATCCCTGCTCTGACAACTGCCGGTTCTCGGCAGTACTTTCCTCACGCTCTGACAGCGTGAGGAAAGTGCAGCCAAGAACCGGCAATTGCATTTCCCGGTGATCAGCGTG